ATTCAAATTCCATTGGTCCGAGTCGTAGTGGAGCAGCGGTCATCTGGCAATCGTCACTTCACACCTACTAGGGCGCCCCAAACCAACGGTCACTAAACCGAATGTTGGGGGAAGAGACTTTCACACGCCAGGATGGCGCCACTCTCTTTCCCAATGTGATACATTGGACAAAGCCAAAACTTAATAAAATCACTCAAATTTTGATGAAGTGAGGTGTACCAAGTATCATCTAATCACACCTCCTTCGTTCATATAAACCAGATTAATATGCCAAAGTCTAGTTTACTCCTCATCTCAAGTTTCAGTCCGTTCGGGAATTGAACCACGGACCTGGACTGGCACATAACATTCAGATTGATGAATATCCTAGAACATGTTCGTTCGTATACCAGTTAACGTAACGTAACGTTTCTATTTATCAGCTATTCCAACTAAACATTTGTATCTACAAATGAATGAAACCTGAGAACACCCGATGGAAACAGCGCATTAAGAAACAATGTGAAATCGGAACAGAGAAAACTATGACGCCGTTCAGGTTTAAATGTGGTTACAAACGTTTCGAAAGAACATATCGCCTCCATTTTCGGAGTTGAAAAACCTTGTAACCACCTATAAGACTACGCAACGTCGGAACCAGAAGACCATAATCGATATATTGTTCTTCTGATGTAAAGTTCTAAGAAGCAAAATTTGGGCCGGGGGTGGGGGGTAATTAGCGGACATGTACGAGTATGCTCTCTCATCCATGTACGAAGTGGCGTCCGGAAAAATGGCTGAAATATCGTGACAAATCTTTGGGCGAGGAACTTTAGAGAGAAGTCGTACAAGACACAAAAGTTCATTATAAGATGTGAAGAGAGGGAAAACGCAGAGGCAGGCGCACGCAACAAACCTTCTTCTTCGAAATGGTACGACAAAATGATGTAACGCCGTGAGCTCCTTGTAATCCCCTTAATCTCTTAGCCTGGCGCCCTTGCAGTTATCTCTACTCGCCGCTTCTGACCACCTACGTCGACACTCTCAATTAATTCCCCTTTCTCAACCCTCCGGAACATAAGATATGAGTGCTTCATACAGCAGACAGACAAGCCCCTTCGCTGCCTGCCTACCGCAGCCTAACAGATTGGCACTACGTAGTTAAACGCGAGGAGCGGAATTTCACTCTCTCTTCCTCTAACTTACTTAACGAGCGGGATGGCGAAGGTTGATAATGGAAGTACTTTGGGGCATTAACGCTACTTACACTTAGATGGCATATTAGTGAAATTTCATTTACCAGATAAGCCCATTTTCTTAGTATTTATTACTCTGCGCATTTTATATAGATGCAGACCTTGGAGACTTAATGGACGATAGGAAAGGACGATATTTAAATTCGTGATTTAAATTTAACTGTTACTGAGCCGGGATATCCCCAGCCACGATTTCAGGTTGCATTACCAAAAACGCAAAGGCTAATCTCATTGGCCACCACGTCCAGACCCCATACGACCTCATACTTCATTGGTATAGGGAGTTTCTATACACGATTAAAGCTGCATGAATATCAAGATGACAATTTAACATTTATATAGTTCTAAGGTTAAGAATGTATGGAAGTTTAGTCACTTTGAAATCTTCACCTGTTCGCAATTAATGGACACGCCTGTCTCTCTCAAAAAATGGTGGGACCCAGATTAGAAGTGTTTAAACCTGAAGATAAATTAAATATTGTGGACTTTGTGGAAGGCGGACGGACAGAAAGCGTTAGTTCTATTCTTCCGCCGAATTTAGTCATTTGTTGACGGATCACCCTGAAGATAGCGGTGCTCTGATCACTCAGTTCTCATAGCCTTGAGCACTCAAGTGCTTGTGGGAAGGAACACACGTAGGAGACAAACTTTCTTACAAGTGACAGAGGAAGGATTTCGGAGTGAACCAATGACAACAGACGCCCCCGAATCGTATGCTCGCTTCCAAATACATGTTTCACTTTAAGGGAAAAATCATGAACCTAAACATCTAAACGAATTATCGATAATAAAATGAAAGTTCTCTCCAGGGAACACAAGGTCTTAATCACTCCTCAACCCCCACTGGGTCCTATGATATTTTGTTTTATAAATACCCTTTTTATCGTCCGGATGTTTCGTAAAATAAACTGTAAAAAATACTGTTAATTTTTAAGATGGCTGTCTTCAGACTCACAGCCGTGAAAACCTCAAATCCTACACTGTTTATTTTTATATTACAAGTAATTACAAACTCCTACTTAATGCTGGTAATCAGGTAAATATAATTAAAGCAAGGAGCTGAGGAAAAACATATTACCGTGATGTGTATTAAGGAGATTATCTCTTGTATTTGTCTATCTACACTTATCACAACACTCGCTGAAGATGGCTCACTAAGCCGAAACGAGTCTTAAAATGTCTGTGAGAAGTGTAGACAGACAATTACAACAAAGAAAGCTTTCATTGTGTCACGTATAATTCTGTCGAATAAAAACCATAAACTTCAAACCGAGACCAGAAGAAAGAATACTTTGAAACGACGTGTCTCGTATATTTAATATAACGTTTAGGGCAAAGAATGCTACTTTCACAAGTCAATTTTAAAGGTGTGTTGTATAATCCAAGAATTTAGTAATCCAGACTGTGAATTTTACAACGTAACGAATTTCGGAAGATGAATTGGACCGGAGTTAAGCTAGGAAATTTCCCATTATGTTCCATGAAAGTTTTAGGAGCTGCTAGTGCGACAGTGGTTCAAGTCCTCCGGCAGAACAGGGTCCTCGTGGGAAGTTTTAATTGGTCAATAAATCACTCCTTCACCATTACGACATGGAAGCCTCTTCTATCACGCGGTAGTGGGTTGTCATTATCGTACTCACGAAACACCATATTTCGCTAGTGTCATGTGACCTCTACATCAACATAAATCTCTAAGGAATTGAGTTCTATTAAAGTACTGCCACAAGGCAGTATGCACGTCACTAATGAATCTGTACTTTTTGGTCTTATAAAATATGGATTTGCAAACAACAAGCATGTTTAGGTTGGTATTAACTAAATCCACGGAGAAAAGTTTTTTTTTACAGGAGCTAAGGAAACCGAAGGAGCATTACTGTGTTCACAAGAACCGGCTACCGAACCCAATCCTGAGCCAGATGAATTCAATCCACATCCTCCAAACCTATTTTTTCCGAGATTAATTTCAGTATTTGCTCTAATCTACGCCCAGGTCTTCCAAATGGTTTCTTCCATTAAGGCTTTTTCACGAAAATTTTGTAGGTATTTATCATCACCCCCGTAATTTCTACATTCCCTGCCCATCTCATTATCTTTGATTTTATTAACTTAACAATATCTTGAAAGCCATACAAATTATGGACCTCCTCATTATGAACTTTTCTCCAGCCTCCTCTTATTTAATCCCTCTTATATTCAAATACTCTTCAGACACCCTAAATCTCTGTTCTACCCTTCATGATATATGTTTCACAGCCACATAAAACTACAAATAAAATAAATATTGTCTATATTGTAATGTTCAAATTTTTAACAGATCTGATACTAAGCATAGTGAAATTCAGATATCCCGTCAGTAAATTAAAGTTACGAACCAAAGCTGAAAGCAATACAGATCAAAATTCAGTTCTCCAATTTCTAGTGTAGCATTCAATACCAAGTTTAATCAAAATCTGTTCATCACCTTCGGAGAAGGAAAGGTCGGGTACGTACACATTTTATGTAAAGGCCTACAATTTTCCAAATAAAAGATAAGTACGACTTAAGAAATAAATGAATACTTATTTTAAAGCTTGTAACTACTCATGGACAGCTTACTTTGATCTGGTACACCCAGAGCGGAGTCTCTGTGCCTGCAGAGAAGCCGACTTCGCCACCGAAAACGTAGATGTTCTCTTTGTAAGCGACGGCCGAGTGTTCCTGGAGGCACGGCGGTCTGTCGCCTGACGGTTGCAGCTGCTCCCAGCGGCTCTCCGCTGCAAACAGAAAGATGCATGTCAGCATAACCAATGAAATGGTTCGAAAAACGTAAACTTCCTAAGATTTGAGATTCTGAATGTGTCGATGGTCCACTGGGATGTGCATTTCAGACCATAAGATGGAGACGACTGTTTCACGAAGACGTTGGTATCTACGTCCGCAAGGCGCTGCATCTCAGAAGACCAACATCGACAACTTGTATAAGGTACACCCCACGTACGACGTTTCAGAAACTTACTTTCGTTCACATTTTGTTAACTTCCGAAACGTGGTGTTTCTTAGATGAATATATGAAGAAAAATGTTCAAGAATAAAAATCAGTTACTTATTTCAATTAGACATGTTTGTAAATAGTGTGGTACATTTGTCTGAAGTATGATTTATGGTACCTGTCACTGGTGACCTGTGCCATACGTTAAACACGAGATACTACAGTTGATACAAGATGGGCTACTCTCGAATATATGAATCTGCCAAAGAGATGCTGACATGCACAAAGTTCAGCTAAGCGTAACAAAAATCGATCTGATCTCAGCGTGTAATGTAATTTAGTAACAACATGCCCCTGAAGACGATCTGGGTAATACAGCGCTTGGAGACGCCACAGTAGCAACCTGGAAACTTGTAGCTTGGAAGTAAGAGTGTGCCGAACAAACTTAATTATCTTCATGTACCGAGCAAGTTAGCACGGCTCCTCTTAAACAAGATGCAGGGTATCCAGTTAGAATTTTATCCCAGACATCAGCCATATTCACTTTACAATCATAAAGTGTTGAATATTATTTGCGCTATGGGATCAATTCTTAAATATTATTTAGACGAGCTTTGGCTTCAAAGATTTCAATTTGCTTCAATCTCTGAGGGCCTAATCAAGGTTAAAAAAATCCACATTCCATAAGTATTTCTGGTGACCATCACAAAGAGTTCACAGGGAAACCATTGTGAAAATCACGTAGCAGTCTGTTGTAAAGCACACAACAATCCATCGTGAGCCCGAAGGTATCATATCCAAGATCTTCTGCATGAAATGGCAGCCTCTTACCACTGGAGTCTGGTCCAACCACGTGAGATAAATCAGCAATCAATTCCCTTCCACTGGTGTGCAAATGGTGTAATCCTAGTTACATTACTGATTTCAAATTTGCGCTATGCCGTGGGCTTAGCATCATTAACCGGATGGGAAGCAAACAGCATTATTACGTGATTCTGGAAGTGATACATGGCCCTAGGCAATACGCTGTAATGATTCTGCAATGTAATAGATTATGTTAGCTGATGAAAGTGCCATTCGGCCGTGAAGAAACCGGGAAACAAATTCTGGTACAACTCACTACTACGCAACAGCGCGGTGCACTGGTGTCTGACACTCTTGGTTCGTATTCGGAAATTCCTAGGTTCATATCTCAAACATGAGAGTGACCATTTTCACTGACGTATTTCTTGGTTGCCCTCATTTTATCCCCCAAATTATGTAACAATAACGTAAAAAACGCCACAACTCATTTCCCTATATGGTTGGCGGTTTTCTGGGTTGTAGCGCCGTGTATCCTGCTCACTGTTTCAGAGGTCTTTGCTGTCTCCATCATCAGGGCAACGAGTAAGTTACATGGCGCGACAACTCAAAAGATAGCCATGTTTGGACTCGGAGCAGTGAAAATCTCGAATCCAACGTAGTTCCCTGCCTTTCAAAATTTATGATAATTTCTCAAATAACTTTTATGAAACGTCAACCTACAAGATAAAAGAAACAAATACTTCTTGTACAATCACCACTATTTAGGGATATACCTTATGAAAAATATGAAGTATATTTTATCTATTCTGAATTTTTAGTAATTTTGAGGCTTAAAATCCACAAGAAATAAATGCATACAGATCCTACAATATCACAGGAAGACGTTTTGTTAATCACCCACTTAAACAAACGTTCTTAAAGAGGTGGAGAGTGGAGAAGGGGCAACACACTGATGGTTGCCTAAATTCAAGGGGGAACAGATTTACCGGCAGAATCACTCGATCGCCTTTGGCAGCAAACCCAGACGTTAATTACACATTTCTTGGTTACGTGAGTTAATGTGTTCTTAAATGAGAAATCCTACCGCTTCTAGGGAGAGAATCCATAAAATATTTCAATTTGAAGGCACGCCAGCATACCGTGGAATTTGTTAATTAGAAACGGATTCAAAATCAGACGACATCCCAGACATGATGATTAAGTAAATGACCTTCCTTGCTTGTTTCCGCTTTTAACATCTGCCTTTTAAAACCAAACAAGGCGTTCGCAAATACATACTCGCCAAGGCAGATTTATTTGCATGGTCTACTGACTTCGCCAATAACATGAAAACTAAAAGGTGAATAGAGGACTACGAGTTAGAAATAATTTTGTAAAATTCAACCAAATTATACTGTCTTCCTAGACAAGATACAACAACCGGATTGAACGTAGTAAAAAAAAAGTAGAATTATTTTTAACATTTGCATTCACTGACGAGAATAAATAATGTGAATTGTGTGTTGCTCCGTATAGTCTTAAAGAAATTGACCGACGTTTCAGTGATGCTTACAACCCGCATCATAGCCGTGCTCCTTCCAGTTATTGTTAACAGACAAATATGCCTACATTTTGTTAACTAGTATTTGCAGAGCGGTATAAATCATGCGGCCGACCGGCAGCGATACGCTGACCACAAGCTGAAAAACACCGGCGTATGATACTTCTGACCAGTAACACGTAATAATTTAGTCCGGAACAAATTGTTATAATGCCGAAGCAGCAACATGATTCTGTTTGACGAATCCCAAATGTCACTGCGCAGTGGAAAGAACCCTGGAACACACTGTACTGATCGATCGAAATTTACTATGCGCATATTTATACTTTGGAATCTCCATACATTCATCTAAAAGGGTCAATTGGTACTTTAACCGCAATTTGCCTCCGTTGTGTAGATGGGGGAAAATGGAAAATGGTTGGGCAGTAGACTGACTTAACAACGCCACACGACGTTTTAATCACCACAGTACTTGATGCGAAGAAAAGGGTAAGGGACCAGGTACGAGGATACACGATGGACGTAGTTTTCGCATTTGGAAATAAAAAGTTATTTCAAGGGAAGAGGACGCGATGAGAGAAGAGGTCCTGAGAAAAGCTTCTAACACCGTTAAAACAGAATCTTACTTGCAAGGTATTAACATTTATCTTCAAAGCAGACGTTTAACTAACGTTAAAACAAAATTCTAATAAATTTTATTATACCCGCAATTACATAAAGTAACTGTATGTAATATTTCGGGTTCACAGCCAACCTGTCCACATGACATTTTCGTGTAATTTTCTTCTGGGTTTTGACTCCGTGTAATAATGGAAAGAGATTTGCATTAGAAAAAAAAATACATTAGGATCCAAATCAATATACGGACGTATAAATCTATTGCAACAAACGTAATTATGAAAATACTTCAATATTTCGAAATACGAGAACTTAATATCGCGGGATGTATGAGTAGAAAAAAAAGTTCCTTTTCTTTAAAATTTTCTCTAAAAATCTGTACATACAAGACGCCAAATCGACATCAGACCGTCAACCAAGTTTCATCAACTTTGGCAAATATATTGGTGTAGTTTGATTGAGGGTTTTAAGAACTATAAATCTAAAAACAAATTCTGATAATTTTTATAACTAAACAATTGAGGTCACGTGTTTACAAATCGAACTACCCCACATACGAAATGGTGAGGGAATGTGTGTCACGTGACTGAACTTTAACTAAGCAAACAAACAAACAAACACGTAGGAGGAGAAACACTGGAGACAGCCGGAGAGAGTGACTTGACAGCCTTTCAAATGAATTACGGGGAAAAGGGGGGAGCGAGAGAATGAAGGGAAGAGAGGGCAAGTCTTTGATTAATGATTGTTCGTTTCCATGTCGACGGATGTTCGTCTTTCCTTCTTGCGTCCACAGAGAAAGTCAGAAGTCTGAGCATGCCGCACGTCAACACGGCCATGCCAAACAAACATCAGTTTTCACACATTACGTAATAAAGTACGTGCAAGGTCCGAAATGCACATTACCACACAATTCACGTTAAACAGTAGCACTTTTATTGTTTTCTAAATCACGTGCGCCCATTCATCCCTCAGTGGGAACCATTTTTTTACAAGAGGGAATCGTCTTGATTTAAAGTTATTCTTCAAGGAACAGGGTGTCTCAAAAGCAAAGCATGTTACACAAATCTGACCAAAACTAACATCGCAGTTTTAGGACATGACAGGCCTTGGTTCGACTGCACTAACACCCTCGACGGTTTGAGAGAAGTGCCTGTAAACTACACAGAAGCAGCTCTTATACAAAGTCCTAGCAAGCCCTGTATTACATATTTACATTTTATTTATCGTCTTAGAGTTACACATCCAAAACTAAATGCTCGTCTCTTCGCGCCCAACGCTTTTGGGCCCAAACACACGTATACACAATGCTGACGTCTGTAGTGAATCTTTATATACATCTTTTTGAGACATTCTATGTATTTACCATCTGCTTTAACAATAAGTAATTCTGCATTTCGTATTTATGGGTTTTGTTTGGCTCTCACTGTAAGCAGGAGTCATTTCCTTCCGCATAATTAACGAATTGATCTTTTTAATGCAGACGTGCTGTTTTCTTTTAGGTACGCACTTGGACGTTATTTAGACAAGTTTCGGCTTCATTGGGAATCGCCCTGATGACGGCAGTATGACCTCTGAAACGTTGGTAAACATCTACCAGACTACACAGCGCAACAACCCAGAAAACAGAAATCTTCATACTCATCGCCCTGATGACGGAGGCAGTATGACCTCTGAAACGTTGGTTAACATCGACCAGACTACACAGCGCAACGACCCAGAAGACAGAAATTATTACTTTTTCTAAGGCGAGTCACAACAGAAATAACTCATATCTATGATTAAAATTTGACTTTTCGTTTGCTTCCTGTTACAGAAAGAGCATG